GGCACACAGAGAGTAGACTAATCATTGCCGCATGTGCCGAGAGCGTCATGGAGTAAAAAACTGGGCGCTATTATTTACTATTAACCCTATCCGTACGTCGTGTTTTACTATAGTATCCATATATACGACGTGGGGAACTCCTTGCCACCACTTAACCCTATCCGTACGTCGTGTCTTACTACCGTATCCATACGACGTGGGGAACTCTATGCCACCACTTAACCCTATCCGTACGTCGTGTTTTATTATCGTATCCATACGACGTGGGGAGCTCTGTGCCACCACTTTCCAAAGAGGAAATTTACTCGTTAATCCGATCTTGCATAGCAGTCTGTCAAAATGATTTTTAGAGAAATACTGAAAGTCTCAAAGAGAACTTGGCACTATAACTATAAGTATTCTAAAATGTGAAGAATACAACCCCGGGGGTACAAAATGGCCCCAGGGAGTCGGATAGGATTAATTAACCAAGGAGGTCTGGGTGCTCACCATGTATAACCTCTTTGGCGCTCACCCTCTACAGTAAAGTCTACTGCTTTCGTTTTAATACGCATTTTACGGCACTTGCAACACAATAAGGTCATATAAGTGCCGAAGATTAGAGGAGTTACACGAGAGTAAAAAACACAAAATACATGTAGAACGTAGAAGGAGGGGAGATAAAGACGATAGATGTTAGAAAGAAAAGAAGGAGCAAACCACACTAGAGCACCCGCCAACAACCCACACTCTCTACTCCATGTTCCCGGCACTGGGCACGGCTGACGTGACTGATGGGGCCTGCCAATTAGAGGTGGGCAAAATCTGGATAAATATCCGGATAACCGGATAATCCTCAATAATACATTATCCGCATTTAGACTCTTTAACTCTTTTTCCTGACCCGTTCGCCGAAGTGGGTCCAACAATTAAAATGTGTTGAATTGATGCCAACCCGTTTGTTGAAGCGGTTCATAACATATTATTTGCCGAAGAGGTGGACTAACATATTATCCGGATTTTGCTAAAGCGACTCATAGCCCAGCCCTACTAGGAGCCCGCCAAAAGGCAGTAATTCCGCCATAGCCACACAGCTGATGTCTACACCTTTTGACGGCAAACCTGTAAGGTGGGGG